ATACATTTTAAAATAATTGTATAGCTTTATGGTTGGGAAAAAGTACAAAAGCTCACGGGAGGAGAAACCAATTGTTCTTTAAAAATTGTCATTCTGGATTTGAATCGCCAATCTAAATCCATTTTCAGGAGGGGCCTGTTCGGTTCCCTCAATATATTATGAATGGGGCAATTTCCATAAGGAAACCGACCAATCCGGCCCCCCCTTTTTATTATTATTATTTCTCATTTTTTCACAATTCTTTATTGTTTTGGCCGACTCTTTAGGCCGACCCGAACCGCTTTCCCAAATGGCCAATTCACCTTAGCAGTCTAGGTTTTTAACCATTGTACGATAGGATCACATCCAGTAAATTCAGTTGCAGCCTTATTTTTAGGGCTAAGTTTATTTATGCTACATGCTGATCCCAAATTGGAAAGATCTTTAGCCTAGTTTCCCATTGTCAACAATAGGTCGGGCTAGCCTTGGTCCCTAAAGGGCTGGCCCAACCCCAACCTGGCCCTAACTAGGCCAAAGAAACCCTAGCATAGGTCCAGCCCTAGCTTGGGCTAGGATGAGCTGGGCTTAATACACTTGAAATGGAAAAAAGAGAAAAAAGAAGAAGGAAACAAAGGGTTTGACAAGGATGGGCAGAACCGGCCCTGTGATGGATTTGGCCCTAGCCTTCCTGCCCTACCATCAGGGACCTAGAGGCATGAAAGAACTTGTTTTTCTTTCAAAATGTTAAACGCTTTTCGACTAGGCAAAATTTCAAGTTGTAATCGGTCTCAACGAGTACACCTCTAGGATACATCCAGATTAGAAAAAATATTCTTGAATTTCTCACTTGTATGCTCAAATGACTCGTGCTGAATAATGACATGTCTTCCAATCGATAAATAATAATGATAAACATCAATTAGAAACAATATTTCTGAAATATATGTATCTCTTCCACAACAAATGCGATACAATCTTGTATTTCTTAAAATTTAACAAACTGAAAACTGTTATTGTGAAAGTCTGAAAAATCAATAGGAAGCTTGAGTTCCAGCGGTAAAGACATCCATCTTTATTCATAAGATTGAATATCCTACCTCAAAAAGAACATTTATGCATGAAAAAAAATCAAATAATCATCTCATACATAAAAAGCTCAATAGACTTCAATTAATTGGTAAACAGGTCAATAGACCTTAATAATTGGGAATATATTTTCTCTAAATGAGGGAGATTTGTGAAAAGAGGTCACATTATCTATGTGGTTCATCTCAAAAAACAACTTGTCATGCATGAGAGTAACGCATATATCATTAACCATTATACGTGTTTAGCTCATTTAAAGCCACGAAAAACGAATCCAACGTCGATACTGAAAAGGAAAGACAGGAGAGAGTAGTCCTGAAGGACCAAGATAGTAGAGATGGACTCCCTCACAAAGGTCTTGTGAGTTTTGACCACAAAGAAATACGGTACTATGACCATAAAAGGCAGGCCAAAAAAGTAGTCCAAAACAGTTGTTTTGAAACATAATAGGTAAATCAAGCCAACATTCCTTTTATTCGCTCTCTCTAAAAAAAAAAGAAAGAAAAAATTAAGAAAAAAAGGAAAACCATGGCTTAATTAATGTTTTGATTAATTAGTTGGCAAAGGGTGAAAATCTTAAGCCCTTACACATTAAAAAAAAAAAAATTAGCCCCCTACGATAAACATAAAGTAGATTGAGGAGGGTGACAGCACCCCATACTTAAGTTACAAGTTATGGCTTCTATTCTTATTGACACCATTTCAAGGAGTAAGGGCATATATTCCCCACTGAATTATCTAAAAAAAAGATTAATCTTATTCCCTACTGAATTACCAAAAATAGTAGATTCATATATAATATAGCATTCATGTCTTCAAAGTTTAAAAGAGCAGCGATTATTAATTACTCTCTAAAAGACTAGCTCTCCCTAAAGGAAAAAAATTATATAGAACCAAGGCTCTAAACAATCAAGTTAGAGCCTATCTCAAAAATTTACTTAGAAGAGGTTATTTTGAAACCCAAATATCTTCAAATTGATCATCTTGACATCAAGATGCATGGATATGATAGAAAAATAAATTTCAAGTTTTGAAAATAGTGCATCTTGTAACGTATTTTTTGACTGTCAATTTTTAAGATTTTCAAGTTTTCATAGATCAGCTCGATCTACACTATTTTTTAAGTTTTAAAATTAAAGATGAAAATACATTTTAAGACTATCACAAAGATTTTCAATATTAAAAACTATATTTCTCGGCACTATTTGAAGGGGGGATTTACTTTGATTGTTTAGAGCCTTCACTCTATATACCACTCTATAAAAGTGCCGTTTGTATAAAGCCTAGGCTCTAACCAATCAAATTATAGTCTACCTTCAAATACTATTGAGAAATGTAGTTTTAATATTGGAAATCTTTGTGATAGCCTTAAGATATATTTTTATATTTATTTATAAGTTTAAAGCTTCAAAAATAGTGTAGATTGACAGTTCTATGTAAACTTGAAAATCTTAAAAATTGACGGTCCAAAATTATGTTACAAAATACACTATTTCTAAAACTTTAAATCTATTTTTTCTCATGTCAATTCATCTTAATGTCGAGATGGTCAATTTAAAGATATTTGGGCATCCAAACAAACTCTTGTGAAATTTTTGGGATAGGCTCTAATTTGATTGTTTAGAGCCTCGGCCCTATATAAACCTTTCCTCCCTCTAAAAGACAAGCGATTATGAATCATTGTCCATATAAAATAAATCTTGGGCCTAAACCAGTGTTTAAAAAAACGCCGAGTCGAACCGGACTCGCCCGGTTCGACTCGGGAATCGTCATGGACGGCTCGAATCGGCGAAAAAAACGGGAATCGTCTGGTTCTAGAAAGAACCGGACGATTCTGTACAGTGAATCGCCGATTCACTGTACGGAAATCGGCGAGTCCGTACAGTGAATCGGCGAGTCCCATTCGGATTTTTTTTTTTTTTTTTTTGTAATCCATGATATATTTTTTTGTAATACTTGATCGATTTTTTTGAAATCCATGATCGAATTGTTTTTTTTTTTGTAATCCATGATCGAATTTTTGTTTTTTTTTTTTTGTAACCCATGATAGAATTTCTGTAATC